GAAGAGAAAGTAGAATAAAGATCCCGAGTAGCTCTACCGAGAGCGGTCAATCCCATAACATTGGTGGAGACCCGTGGTTTCTGCGATCTCCAGTCCCATAACAGTACCCATATTCAACTATCCGTGTTGTGGAATACGATGGACTGCACCAGTAGAGAAGTAGTAGTGTTGTAAGGTACCCATATTCAACTATCCTTTATGGTGGAATACAGTGTGCTGCACCAGTAGAAAGTTAGTAGTGTTGTAAGGTACCCATATTCAACTATTCGTGTGGTGGAATACAGTGTGCTGCACCAATAGAAAGGTAGAAGTGTTGTAAGGTACACACATTAAACTACTCTTGTAGTGGAATAAAGTAGGCATCACCAGTAGAGAGCTAAATACATTATATCATGAATATGAAGACATCACGTAGTATATTTCATCTTTGCATTACTAMCAGTGAAACAGTGGTTATACGAAAATTAAAGTCCCCAATGTAGTGATCTCTTWGGTATTCCCGAAAAATAAACAAATTTGTTTTTCTTTCCATCCATAGATACTCGTCATCRTGGTATACCAGCCAAGGTTTACCCGTAGCGGGCTGGAATTCTGGTAGTGGTCTTCGCAACAAGTTCTATAACATCAGAGGGTATGTACACATGTATTGTACAGTGCATGACTACTTCTTAAAGATCTTTTWACGTTTTATATCACCTAATATTTCTGACGTTTGCAATGCTTAGTAAATATTTTACAAAGTTTTTGTCGTATTAGCACGCATATTTTCATTTTCTAGTCACAAAAAAGGTATCGAGTGCCAATTGATCGTTTGGTCACTATGTCTGGTATCTTAGGATATACGAGGCAACATTTTGAGTTATTTCCTCAATACCTAATTTTTTAGGTCAGGTACACTAGAAATTGAACGCCTAAGTCAAGTGAAGGGCAATACACAAGAGATTGGTCGATGGTTATGGCGTCTTGGAAATGCCACAAACGTCCAGGAAGCAGAGAGGAAGTGCTACAACTGGTATCAACAACAACTTGATTTCAATCTCCAAAGATCGCTGTGGCCATGTCCATGCTCGCTCTTCCAAGCAAGGCGCGATGGTAACTTTCGATACGACTGGAGGAACCATTACTTTTATCCATCGTCGTATCGTCAGTGTCGCTTGCTACATTTTTTCCTCAGACCAAAGTTTTATTTTACTGCKTTCAACACGGAAACTAATGAATACATGAGAGCTTACGTGATTTTGTCGCAGCGTTGTTGTTACAGCACAAACCCTGAAGATTACGGCTCATTAATAGAAGGGCCAAGAGACGGTGGTCATGCGAGAATGCAGGTGTACAATCGCTAYTACCGGCAAATTCCTGGTTTATTGGACGATGACAAAGCTCATTGGGCTTGTTGTAGAGCATCCAATCTGTGTCACCTGTTCTACAAAAAACGGCCTTCTGATACATGTCAAAGATACCGCCCACCAAGAAGACGTAAGTTAAACGTTTAACTCAAGTTTCTCTCACCCTAAAACCGGACATGACAACTAGTAATTATAACAAACAGACCAAATTGAAATGTGAGGTGTTGGGGTTTGTGGAGGAAAACTGGAGAACCTTTTAAGACTAAAGGCGTGGATCCAAGGATACTTTGGGCCTCTCCCGTTACATGTTTAGGGTATAAAAAATAATTGCATGGCTTTTAAGGAGAGAAAATGGAATTTTGATGGCAGGAAATGTTCCTGTCAAGAATTCATTTCCATTCACGCTTCACTGAGTGGAAGTCTTAAATAGTCTGTCCTTGGTTCTTTCATTCTTCCAACACGCCAAATTCCATTTCGATGGATGGGTGAGCAGTCAATTGAGCCCATGCCAGAAGATGTTTTAGGGTATCTATAAAATTCAAAGTTAATTGGATCTTTATTTACCCTTTCATTCATTGGATTTTCCATTTTCTTCCTGACTTAACTGTTTAATTTCCTTTAGGATGGTTCTGGGGTGATCCTCACATTGTCACAATGGACAACAAGAACTACACTTTCAACGGTCTCGGCGAATACATCATGGCTGATGTTCAGAACGGTTTCTTCCAGCTTCAAGCCAGAACTGCAAAAGCATTAGGAGACGTAGCAACGGTCTTTTCTGCAGCCGTTGCTAAGGAGCAGAGTACAAGCAGTTTTGAAGCAAGGCTGAAAAATTCAGGTAAATTCCGGGAAAGAAAAATTCCTTCAAAAAATAGCTTTACCCCAAGCAAAAAACCACATTTTAGTAGCGCGGTCTTTTTAAAAGATTAAATATTAAAAATTGAAATTTCTATATATCTTGGTAGGTGGCCTAGAAGTTCTTGTTGATGGCTCAGCCTTCGATTACAGCAGCATTACGAATGGCTCCCAAGATATCGKGAATATGTCCATCTCTCGCGACGAGAACGATGGAGTATCAGCCACCTTCCCATCAGGCATCTCTGTCTCGTTCAGCCAAGTAAAAGGGATGATGGCAATCGTATTCTCGGCACCTGAAGCGTTCAAGAACAAGACGAGAGGACTTCTTGGGATCTGGAATGATGATTCTAGTGATGACTTTACTCTTCCTAATGGCACGATTATCCCTGAGTCCTCTAGCGACAGAGACATCCATTATAAGTTTGGTCTTAAATGTATGTATCAGTTCTGAAACGTTTCTCTTAGATTGATCGAACAAATGAACGATTATTTTGTTCCTTCAATTACCTCATTTTTCTATAATTATTTATTAATAGCCAGGATAAAAAACAGCTTTCATACACGGGAAAAAAATAATAAAGAAAAAAGGAAAGAAAATTAATTCAAGTTAATTCAGTAGATAGGAAAAACCATACATTCATTTCAAAGGAGGAAAATAGAAAATGTCGGGAAATGTTGACAAATCATATATGCATATGAACCAAACTATGAATTCTTATTCGCTTGATGACAGCTACTACACACGGATGTCAGCGGTTGGACGTCATTTGTATTCTAAACACCCGYTAGCTTTGTTTTAATGTCTTTAAAAACCAAGAAAGATATTTGAGTGTGGGCTTGTGTACTGTATTATTATACTAATTGCCCAATTATTTTCTCTCTATATGCAGGGCAAATCACAGCGGCTCAAACKTTATTTTCCTACAAGGCTGGTCAAGGTGTAGACACGTTCAAGAACACCTCATACATGCCCCTGTTTGCTGATGAGCTTAAATTCAATGACTCGGCACTTGAAGCCAGAGCAAGAGAAATATGTGGTTCTAACCTGGCTTGYCTGTTTGATATTGCTGCTACGAAAAATGTCTCTCTTGGAGAAGCCACCTTGAAGACATCCCAGAAGCTTGTTAATGAGTCAAATCAACTTGGTGAGTCGAATCATTGTTTAGTACTGTCATAGTAGTTTTCCAATGTAATGTGAATCATTGTTTTATAAAACACTCTATGGCTTTGGGGTTGTTATGAGATGGCTGGGTGCTTAGGGAGTACTCAATATCCCCTAGTGATGTAGCGAATCAGAGTTCATAGAATATCTATAGAAATARATATGAGTCATTCGCTGTAGATTTGCAATTCATTAGATTCCACGAACCTTTGACATCCGGCACCAGTGTCTTCAATGGTGTAGAGTACTCGTACATGTTGGCTATCTATAAAAAAATGTCAGCTATCTGTAAAGAAATATTTCTATAACACAAAAATAATATTGAAATTTGATATTTATTAAATTCCAGGGGTAGAGCATTTGACTATATTTATGGTCTATCCTATAATGACAAATTTCAATGGGTCTTTCCGTTCCCCTTCTTTCCACCATGGAGGATAAAAGTTCTCTCTTGAATAGCCAGCCATAAATGCTTATTTTTTATTATYATAGAAAACTTTCCTCCGGAGCTGGTAAATGCAAGTTCAGTTATCAAACTTAACTTGAATGAAATGTTCATCTTTACCTTGACGGCGAGGGATAAGAATGGAGATGCCATATCTTTTACTTTACCTTCCCTTCCTRGACTGCAAGTTACGAAGTCCAACAACACGAGAATCTTCAAGTTGACTCTTTCTACAACTGATAAGGTTAATATTTGTGCTTTCCATAATATTGAGGATTCRACAAAATAATAGTAAAACGACATTGTCTAAGGCAGAAGAATCACGTATTGGCTATAACATGTCTAAAACAACGTTTAACGACAACATGAAGACCATTATTAGCAAACAATGCAAAGACGAGTCAATTGATTGGTTGCAAGCATTCCCAAGAGAGTTAAAAGACAATATGGCGGCCATTGTGGAAATCTTTTGTTAAATGRTACCAGCATGGCCGCGATGACGTAACGTTCAAACGAAGAATAAACATTATCTACCGTCACAGTATCAAGACCTTTTATTTGTGTATTTTGTCTCACCGGTCTTAATCATCGTGCGTAATTTTTGATTATTTTTTAGGCCAATTTCACCGCCGTCGTAACAGATTCTAAAGGAGCATCAGCGATCTGGAGCCCTACTATTATGTTGTGCGCATGTCAAAATGGCGGAACCTGTTCACAGCCAGACAATCTAAGTGGTGATAGATTCCAAGTGATGTCGTGTACATGTAATAGTGGTTATACTGGCAAGTTATGTGAAAGTGACATCGATGCCTGTGATGTCAATGGRCCRCCATGTTTYCCTGGGGTCAACTGTACCGATCTTCCTCCTCCTCGCGGGATAGATGGRTATATCTGTGGGCCTTGTCCCGCGGGTTATGCCGGAAATGGTTCAAGTTGCACAGGTACATGGTGCAATGTCATGTAATATTATCATTTTATTTTGCAGATCCTAATTACTTTTATTGATTCTTACATTGCTAGACATCGACGAGTGTCAAAACGATACAAGGTGCTCACAGCTGTGCATMAATACCCCGGGCTCATTCCAGTGCCAGTGTAACCCTGGTTACAGGCTCAATGACAATGGTGCAACCTGTGATGGTAAGAATTTGACAATTCACTTGCAACTGAGACCACTTTATTACTAAAAGTATATTCAATGTGGTAAAAATGTGTAGTCGAAAAATAGGAGGCCAACTGTACGTAAAGGATGATGATTTGATGATTTATGATTTATATAGGATGGGAGTTGCCTTGAAAGCGTACAAATACATTTTGCAATCAAGCTGAATTTTATTACAATTTCTTTTATGTAATCCAGATATCAATGAATGCCAGACGCCTGGCACTTGTATGCATATTTGTACCAACACCGAGGGYAGTTACAAGTGCACATGTAATGAAGCCTTCAAGGTTGATCCAACTGACTCCAGCAAATGTGTTCGTAAGTATTATACATTGATAGACTTCTTTACCTTGGGCGAAATGTTTTTCCCCCCTTTCAGACCACGTGTTATTTGTTCATAAGATTCTTGAGTTGTACCCATATTTATCCTGATGTGTCTTCTTATGCGCAACCGTTAAACCAAGAAAGAAATGATACTCTAGGGAATGACACGTGGACTAAAAATGTGTAAACGTTACCAACGTGCCAAAGAGTTCTGYTGCTTTAAAATAGTAACTGCGAATAAATTTTAGAGCAATTCTGTGCAAATATTTCCATGAGATTAGAAATTCAGCACAAGGGCCTCACTTTATTCCCCGATTGTACATATGCGTACTAAAATAATAAATAAATGAAATAATTGGGATGTATGAATTTGTAATCATTTAATTTCATGTCTATACCTTTGCAGCGGCTGCTGGATGTGACGGTAATGSCTGTGATCATGTTTGCTATATGCAAAACAACGAGAAGAAATGCTCATGTAAACAGGGTTACGAGCTATACGACCAAAAGAAATGCAGAGGTAATGATAATACAAAACATGTACTTTGTTAACGTTGCGGTTTATTTAGGCCTCCTCACAGGAAACGGACCCAAAGGCAGATTTTAGGCAGATTTTTTTTACAACTTTTAATCAAAGATTTGTTACTGAAGKGAATGTCACTAGGTCTAAAWGAAACCACCTTAACATAACCATCTTTCYATTTTAGATATCAATGAGTGCAATRATGCACCCTGCAGTAGCGGTGAGTGTACGAATTTTGATGGCGGTTACAGATGTGAATGCTCAAAGGGATTCAGACTTGCATCTGACAAAATCACTTGTGAAGGTAAGTCTACTACTTTAWGCTGATTCTATAWGATGAAAACGTGAATGATCGACGAGTAGCTGTTARATCAGTCTTCAACACCAGTAGAYGATAGATAARTTATTTTTGTGACGACGGCGCGAGATGGCCAAAGTTCTCGTAACATTGATGTTCATAAGATAGAAATGTAAAGAGCGACTAAAATATTGTTGTTTCATTTTCATTTTGTGGGGCAATAATAACAGAGCCAGGTTCCAATTTTGGCGAAAACCAAAAGATTGAACTGAGAATTATAAGACTGTTCTTTCTGAGAGCAAGGGCGGATCCCCACTTCAGCAGAGAAAAACGATGCTTTTTTATATTGTTTTCCGTTGTGTTGACGAAAGAAACTCAATTAGCCCTCCCCCCGTCCCCAAAATTTTGGCTGGATCCGCCCTTGGAGAGAGATCGAATAAGGAGGATATCATTACAGCCCAGCTAAAAACCTCAAAGTTCAGGATAAAACTAATAATGAACCCACTCACAWACACCRCGGTGAGAGGAAGAGATGTGCACAYTYCTCATATTTCCGCGCACTAATGCCTTTGCCCCCGATCACTATCTTGACTAAAAGTTTTAATGATCACTGCTTGATTTCCCTAGATATGAACGAGTGTGTAGAGGGATACAACTGCAGTGATCCGTACCATCAGTGCGTCAACACCAAAGGGTCGTATGAATGTAGATGCGAAGAAGGACTTTACTGGATTAATGGCTCCTGCACAGGTATTTWATTCAATATTACCGATCATTAATTTACATTTATAGATTTTTAAGAGTTATTCTCGGCACGGAAACACCTGTGTTATTTCTGGTGGATTCATCGATAAATCTCTTGGATCTGCAAACGTAGACCATTGTAATTTGATGTAACTAAGGGATTAAAAAATAATAAAAAATAAAATAAAAAAAACGCGAAACAACTACCACAACGGGCCGATGATGCTTGGAAAAATATCTAGATTGAATCATGATTCTAAGTCATGGGAATCAACAGTAGTTTCCATGAAGCTCCTCTTTTTCCATTGGATTCTAATTAAAATTTAGTGATTGACTTTTGCTGAGTGAGGAAAACCGRAGAACCCCTAGATAAACCCACGAAGCAGACGAGAATACCAACTAGAAACTCACATACGACACCGAGCACAGCGGGACTTGAAACCGGGTTGCATTGGTGAGAGGCGAGCGCTCTCAACGCTACACCACAGTTTCATCGATTAATGACCATTCAATGCTTTATCTTTGTTACCATTTTTAATGATTAAATGTGAAATAATTTGATATTGTAGATCCTGGCAAGGGTCCTGTACCAACGGTTTATCCTGAACCTCCAAGAAAACCAAGCGAGGAAGAAAAGTTACAAGCTGTTATTATGCGCATCCTAAAGATGCTGCTTAAGGAGGTGAGTCTACTTCTCAAGCAACTTCTATCTCTCTGGTTAAATCCCCTAAATCATCTAATAGTTACCCAGAAAGGAAAGTCACGAACGGGACACGAGACTCATGCGCGAGGTGACCACCTCATGAATTGTTGAAATAATTAAACGTAAAAATATATGCAAAAAATATAACTTTGGTCTATGACCTCATGAATAAGTAATGAGCATAAGATTAATAACTCTAACTCTATTTAGTTTTGCCCGTTAATCTCCAAAACAGAAGCAAATCCATTGACGTCCGACAAATTGTTTCACTTTCGTCCGTGAATCCGTCGCAGTACAATTTGTTGATTTATTACGGGTTCATTTTCAGTGGGACGCAGCTACCGATAAGAGATTCAAGAAAGCCATTGCTTCGTTGGTGTCATCATTYTGTAAGACAAACCGAACACGATGTGGACTTCCAGAAGAACGAAGATCAAGGTAAATAGAAACAAGTCAGATTCGTACCTTGCGTAGATTAGATAATTCCAGTTCAACAATTCTCATTCTGTGAGAGAGCGAGAGTTTGTTAGTCAGCTAAGRGGTTGTTTCAGGGTTCGATGAAATTGATATTAGATCGAACTCAAGCATGGTATCATATCATCCAACACCCTCCTGTGTTGMTGGTCATATTTAGTGACAAGATAAACTGAACGTTTTGAAAAAAAAAAAAAAGAAATTGGATTTCTCGCGATGATCTTTCTCTGTCTTTTTATACCGGCCAACATGGTTACCCCATCTTTTATTCTTTTGTCAATATTTTTGAAAATCGTGTGCAATTTAGTGTATTTAATTTCTATACTGTTTCAATATTTCACAGACGAGCAGCCGGGGATCCATTGTACACCGAGTRTCAAGTTCACCTCTTACCTTCTTATCCCCGACAAAATGGTTCGGATCTGTTAGTAGCATTCTACATCCAAAAACCACCAGGAATCTTCGCAAATTTCTCAGCCGTACCAGCTCTTGTGTTGGAAGAGTTAGTCAAGGCTGGACTTGCACAGATACAAGTGGCATTGAATGGTAGGACTGCCACAGGGATAAGCAGTCTCTACCAATCTACACCTGACCCACCAACAACTACTCCACCACCACCTGCTCCAAAGGAGGACAAGACGTGGATGTACATTGTTATTGGTGCTTGTTGTGGTTTTGTCGTTCTGTTAATAATCATCATCGTTATTGTTGTCTATTGGTAAGTTTATTGTTGATATAGGACATGGTATGATGATGCATATGACATATAAAAACTTTAATAGTTTGATCATTGGAGATTGAAAACACGGCATTGATCGTAGTTGCTTCATTTTCTTTTCTTCTTTTTTACCTTCCTTCCTTTCTCTCTCTCTTTTTCCTTAGTACTTCCTTTATTATTCCGTTTTTTCTTTCTTTCTTGTTTTCTTTCTTTCCATCGTCCTTTCCTTCCTTCCTTCTTCTTTCATTATATATTTACTCAATTTCTTTCTTTTTCTTATCAACAGCAAAAAGAAGAACCCAAGGAAGGTATCTACCCCGCAATACGTGTCACCTGATGATGATGAACTTGGAGCTAGAAACAGAGGATACAACAAATCTTCTGAAGCTCTAGAAATGGAAAAAGTAAAGGCCTGAGTATAACCTTTGAGCCACTGCTTCAAAACACTAGACGCACCTTTTAGTGTATTTAAATAATGTATTGGAATATATTCAGCAAAGTGCATGCGTGCAGTCGTATTCCATAATTAATATCGATCACTTTTGAATGATCACCAATATATCAAGAAACAAAGTCTAAACGAACATTAGAGAATAATTGCACTCACTCGATCAATCCGTGCCCAGTAAATCGGTGCTCTATATCCCATATAGTAACCAAGGCGTCAGGTGGTGGGGGCCTTGCAGTAYAGCCAATACGGGGTTATTCATTAGTATTCTCTAATTAAGTCATTAATATTCTCTATATAGAGAATACTAATAAGGCTTTTGTTTTCTTTTGTTCGTATGTTATATCGTATGTTAAAAAGGGAAAACAAAGTGTTGTAAATGGGGGTTCCGGACCCTCTGAACCCGCCCTTGCTTCGCCCTCGTGGCTTTCTATCTAATGCTCGGGACTCTACATCTCATAGAACACTCGCGTTTATAYACCCTACTTAAAGAATGTTTTAGTGAGGCTTATTATCAAGGCAAGCTTTTGAATAGCCTTTAAAAATGCACTCATAGTAGTAAGGAATATAATTTGCGGGACGGTCAGGCTCCTTAAAGGACCTTAAAGATTCGCAGGATGCATGGATCAAGAAAGGATGCGTGGTGTCCTCTTGCATGATGCATATATATCATTTATATTAGATATAATTGTAATCAGTTCAAAGAACACCTGTGAAAGTAACAAATATATAGAATTAAAAGGCACTGAAGAATTGGTCGCCATGTTGCTTAACATAACAAATGAGCCCAATACCAATCCGTTTGTTAGCCAGACCCGTACGTTATATGAATTTCAAACTTGTTCTTTTAACCCACRCCATCCAGGAAAAATATATAGTGTACTTGAATTTATAATACACGCTTTGTCCTTTATAATATTTATCGGTAATCACATTGGTGACTCGTGAAATTAGGGATAAATTTCACTTGTGTTAGTCAAAATCTGCATAATTTCTGCTTAATTACTCCGTTTTGACAAACACACTTGAAATTTATTCCTAATTTCACTCGCCACCATGTGATTACCTATACGAATCCCGCGGGAAYCCCTCGATGTAGAAGCACAGTAAATGTGCGCGCTAACAATAGTAGACACCATGCTTTTGCTTTGATTTTTTCTATTGGTAAACAGGCACCTTAAACAAATAGTATGGACAAAAATGTTATATTTATTTCTTAATTTCTTAAGTATGGTGCTACTGCGTTTGCGTGGCGCTTTGGCCTGCTTGAGAGCAACGCTATTAGCAGTTCTTGAAAGTACGAAGGCTCAGTATTTTGGAACACTTTTGAGTTGAACTTGATTTAAATAATAATAATAATGAGAATACGTTGTTCTACCGGTGAGTAGCGAAGTCCTGTTAGTGGCGGAGTACGATAATCCGTAGATAATGCCGAGTGCATTTWGAAATAATCCGTATCCCAGTTTTGTAAACAAATATATCCCTAAAATAAATGGCCGATAATAATTCGTAATCTTTAGATGTAGGGGCCAATAATCCTTTTTCGTTTTCTAAATCTTTTATAATCCTTGAACCCAAAACCCTCACAGGGCCCCACTGACCAGCAAAGATCCTTCAACAAAGAAGTAAGTATGATCAGGTTTACGAGAGAAGATGAAAAGTTTTATTTTTTTGCAGCAGAATACAATACATATTGCACAAAGTGTTTAGGCGGAACATATAGAAGAGCGTTACTACTGTTATTTTTGAGATTACGAATGCGTTTTCGTAKTCTCCCAATACGGGCAAAAGATCCMGCTGATCTCGTTTTGACAGTCCATCAAAAAACTGCCAATCATCAACAGCAACAACAACAATAAACAAACAAACATGGCGGCCACAGTATGAGAAAATAACTCTGAATCTTTGCTTTCCTAGCTATGTTATGGACTAGCAATACATTTAAAATTCTACCTATACTTGTTTCAATTCTTTTATGAAATTATCGTGAAATGATAGCTCTTTCTCCGCCGAAAAAAAAGCTGAAACTAGGATCTCCTGATCAACTACAACAATCCTTTGCGCGCCTTTACTGAGATGACTTGCTTAATGGAATGTAACGCTGATTTCCATGCTTGCGCAATGTGTTGATCGTATTTGATAGAGTGGAGTGGCAAATTCAGCACCCAACCCTTCCTAGAATGAAAGAACCCAACACCCTCTCCCCGCCCTCACTAAAAATTTGAAATCTAAAAGCTCGATATTTTTTTAAAGTGAAGTCGATCTTGCTCGATATGATCTCGTACCCCTCAAGCTCTCCCCCATAACTGAAAGTCAAATGGTCCATCCCTCATAAAAAAAAAAAAAACTTCCAGACACGCCGATGAATTAAGCATTTTTTACAAGCGACATTTGTTTACACTGGACAAAAAAGTCATTGAATTTCAGTCTCGGGTCACTTCCTGGATAACATGTTCTAATCATGTGATCCTGACTCGACCAATATAAAGCCARACAGAGCCAGAAAAAAACATCTCTAAACGTGGCAGTTGAAGTGGCTTGATAGATTATTYAGCGGGCCTAAAAATTACATTTTAGAATCTAATGCATTTGAAAGTATCTGATTTACAGACTRCTTTTGGGTGAAGGAGCTGTACTGTWGTTTTCCTCATTAATTATTTATGATTTGATAATCATCTCCAAGCTTCTTTTTTGGAATTACCGATAGAGGATTCAGCTGGCCGACAGGTATTCTTCCCGGTTGTCGTGGCGGCTTTTGTGGTCACAGGAACCAAAACGGTAAGACTTTATTACATTGCATGCAATGACTACTAATATCAATATGATAAAGATGCAATAACCAACACATATACACTCACGAGAGACGAAATTGGTGAAAGTAATCTCCTATATTATCTAACTAAGTGTCTATGTTTGCAAGAAGATCGCGTCCGTGCAGCAGTTGTCGAGGTTTTTAACATGGCTTCTCATTCTTCCCGTCCTCCAGACGTATTCAGGGAGTTATCGTCCACTTCGACTATCAGAAAAACCTGCTAGTTTAGACCCAGGTGCGTTATGTGGGATCATTTSCTTTTCGTAAATGTGGAATTTTTGTTGATACTTTCAAATGACTTACACAGTCTTAAGACTACTTTTTTCACGTTGTATTTGTCACTTACATTAAAATTGAATGAGCTAGTCTTACGTGCAATGATAAGCCAAAAACACTCATTGTTGAGTGTAGACTTAGTTGGTAAATAAATTGGTCTTTCCAAAACGTTAGCGCGGAATACGCTATGAAAGCTTGTCTTGAACGGAATTCACGTTAGGATGGCAAAACAKACCAATGTATTACTTAAACAGATTGCTTTTTAGCTTTTACATATCAAACTTATCCTGGATTAAATATATGACAGGTCATAATATGAAYTACTTTGGCAGGCCATTCAAAAAWAACTTTTTAGTTAACTGCGATTTTCATAAACATGCGGAAATTTGGTTTTTCGCTGCTGTCAATGACCAAAACTAATCAGTCGATATCTTYCATATCTTTGACTGGCGGCAGCGATTTTTTTTTTGACTTTCTTTGTACTAATTTGCTCGATCTAAAGTCTCAATTTAGCTGGTAAGATGGGTAATCRACCTTATATTTTGCTTCCAATTTGTACTTTGTTCAGTTCTTTGTTATCTTATTGAGTTTTGAAGCGAATCCTCACTAATAAATCGATGTTTYAGAACTTCACAGTTAGTGTGATAGACGGCTTTGATCGCTTATCACTTAATTTTACTCATTGTGACTTTCTGACCTTTCGTCTCTGTGAAGGATAAATTCCTGCAAAAGTCGAGTTTGTCACGCGTATCCACGAGCATTAAAAAGTATAATCCAACGCGCTCTATTTATATCAGTATGTATTAAAGGTAAATTCGAATATAATTGGAAAATACGACTCAGAGAGCACGACTTTACTGTGCGGACACTCGAACCGTGGACCGGCTTCGATGTTTTTTGACACTACCCAATCAGCGCTCTCCGTAGAAACAAAGGGATCAAGCGTTTTTTAGGCGCCATCCAATCACAACAAACGGCGGAAAAGCTTTAGATATTTTATTTTTGACTCACTCGTAGCATAGCCTGTAGATAACGAACTTCTAAATTGTGCACGTGTCTCAGATTTTTGATGTATCTCTTTTTAAGATCAAACGCAGTCACACGTTAAACAGGATGTCTGAGTTTTCGGCGATTGTATTGTCTGTATTTGCAAGATAGACAACATCTTTATGTGAACCCAATAACTTTTGTGTTCCAAGTCAGACAATTATAAATGGACTACTTTTA